GCTATCCTTGGGGCGACACTCAGCTCCATCCCCTAGGACGTGCCAGCAACAGCCCGGGAAGGCCTTGGCTGTCTCAGGAGTCACCCGGCTCCTCCACAGGCCCTGGCCAAGAAGCCCTGTTATCAGATGGGGCGCACCTGTTCTGTGCGTTCTTGGACCCACCCCACCGGTGTTTGCTGGATACCCACCATGTGCCAGGGCCTGTGATAAAAGCTGTGCTTACAACTGTGTGAACTGCTATGAAAGACACAGATGCAGGGTTTTCAGGGTGCATCACTGGGCTACACGGGCTACGCAATCTGCTACGTAGAGCCTACAAGCAGGATCACCGAACACATCTGGTTAAAACCCAGGGAGTGCTGCTAATGAGGCTGAGACCCAAGGACAAGCAGACATTGGCCAGGGAGAGAGGTGAACAGACACAAGCCCAGCATCAGGAAGCCTACAGAAAGGCCCAGAAACGGGTAGAGAATGGCGTGTGGGCCTCTCGGGTTTTGTCGCGTGACTAGTCATTCCAAAACTCAGCAACTGGCTTAAAACAACCATTTTTTTTTCCGATGGAGCTCCAGGTTCCTGGCATCAGCCTGGACCAGCCCTGGCCGTGGCGGTCACTTGGGGAGTGAATGAGTGGATAGAAGGTCTCTCCCTCTCGCCCTCCCCTTTTCAAATAAAATGCATAAATCAGAAAGAAAAGAAAAACCAATCATTTTTCAACCATCTTTTCAAGCCACAGCGTTATGGTCAGAAACGAGATTGGGCTCACGCGGGTGGTCTGGGCAGGACTGTGGCCGCCCTAGGCTGGGCATCACTCAGCCATCTTCATGGCAGTGGGAACTGGCGGCCCAGTGGCTGCTTCTCCACCTTGCAGGCTTCCCACTCTGCAGCAAGCTCCCCGGGGCTTCCTCCCACGGCTGTTCCAAGAGGCAGCACGGAGGGACAAGCTCCAAACCTCCAGCCCCTCTGCGTATCTCGGCCCTAGCTGTGGCCCAGTGACCGCAGCGAACCACAGGGCTGCACTGAGCATCTGTGTGGCAGGACAGCAGCCAATGGCGAGAACAGCTGGGGCTGCTGCTCAGCGACCTAGCCCAGCGTGGTCAAGGACTCCGAAGAAAGGCGGGCGACCAGGGAGGGAGGGGCGGGCAGGAGCTGGGCACAGCATGAGGCCCGAGGCTGGAGGGGGCCAGCACCTAGCAGGACTTCGAGAGCACCGTAAGAGTTTGGTCTTTCTACTAAAAGCAGCCAAGCCTTCCTCTTGCTTGTGATTCCATCTTGTGGGTTTGGGCCTTATAAATAAACCCCTTGATGGTTCAACTCCCCTTGGTGAAACAGCAAAGTGTCCCAGCTTGAGAGGGCCTGGCCTTGGCCACACCACCCTCGCCACAGCCTACCTGGCTACAAACGCCCCCTTGTCTTCTGCACACTGTGCTCTTTGCACCTGCGCCTCCCTCACATTCCCCACGGGGCCAGTCCCAACCTCCCCAGGACTCAGGGCAGGCACCACTTAGGGAGCTCCTTGCTTACTCATCTAAGCCGCAAGACCAGGGGCCTAAAGAGGAACAAGCCCACAGTTCACCGTGGCGGCCCTGTGGTGCGAGGCTCAGCCTGGCCTCTGCACGGACACCCTGTGGGCACGGCGCTCTGCCTATGCTGGGGCCATAATACCCCCAGCCAACGCTATCAGTCTCCTGCCTTGGCATTTGGCTGGGGAAGATGGTCTGGGGTAGGGTGGGGGGGCTCTTCCCCAACTAGGCCAGAGGTCCAGTCCCAACACGAAGCCAACACGTGCATGCACACACACACGCACACACGTGTGCCCATGGCTCAGGGCCAACCCAAGGCAGAGAGGTCAGAGGGGGAAGGGAGAGGAGCCGCTTGGGAGCTGAGGGCAGCGACACCGGCCCCTGTAACAGGGAAAGGGGCAGCCGCTGTGGCCTCCGTTGGAGCAGGTCTTCCCTGGGAGCCAGGACAGCCAGTCAGGGTGCTGAGACGCGGAAGCCACAAAGCCAACTCTCAGCTGACTTTGTCCCCAGCAGCTGGAGAAGCAGCTGCTATGACCCAGCGGCTAAGAAAAGGCCCAGGGCTTTTCCAAAGTGTGATGCAGGATGCTGGGACTCATACTGTCTCCCTTTTGCAGAAAAGAAACATGGGTGCCAGGGAGATAAGGTTTAGACTCATCAGCCCACCCAAGATAAAAGACTACATTTCCCAGCCTCCCTTGCGGCTAAACAATGTGACCAGATTCTGGCCAATGAGACATGAGTGCAAGTGATCACAGGTTTAGGGTTCTGCTCACACACTTTCTCATCTTCCTCCTTCTCAAAGCCATCCTGGACCATAAAGCCAAGAGCAACACCTTAGAAAGATGGAGCAGCAATGGCAGAGAGAGAGCCAGGGCCCTGGGAACCACCATACCCAGCCCAGAGAGCTCACACATATGAAGGAAGGACAGAAGAAAACCACCTGTTGTTCTACCTTGTACCCACGAGGACAACCGTCAAGGAAGGCGTGGAAGGAAGGAAAAGGAAACGGATGAGAACGGTGTTGGTGAGGATGCAGGAAGTTGGAACCTTGTGCACCTGCGAGTGGAAACGTCAAATGCTGCAGCTGCTCAAACAGGACAGCAATTCCTCAAAGAAACTAACGATAGGATTGCCAGCGCCCACACCCAGAAACTCCAAGAGACACTTGTGCGCCTGTGCTCACAGCAGCGTCACGTACAGCTGCCCAACACGGAAGCGACCTGCGTCCGGCAAGAGATGAATGGATAAGCCTGGTCCATCCATACAACGGAATAGTATTCAGCTTTGAAAAGGAAGGAAATTGTGACCCATGCTGCACAGAGGGGCCCCCAGGACACAGCGCCAAGTGATGTGCGCGGGGCACACAAGCATAAACACTGGAGGATGCCACTTAAGGAGCGCGGGGGGGGGGGTATTTGGCGCTGTGGGCTGGTGGTTGCCAGGGGCTGGGGGAGGGAGAACGCAGAGCTCCAGGCATCCAAGAGGAAGTCAGGTGGGGAGACAGCCGGCGGCTGTGGGTGCACGGCTTTGTCCCGGCTTTAACCAACCGTGCACTCAGAAATGGTTAGGATGGCTCATGTTATGGGCCGTGTGTTTGGACCACAATAAAGCCACAAATTAAGGAAACAGGCTGGCTTGAGGAAGCTCTGCTGTAACGCTTCCTCAGGAAGCCCTACTTCCGACTGACCGGGGCCACCGGGCACGCCCACCATCCTGCCAAGAGCTGGGAAGCTGTGCTCTCAGCCGGACCCTGCTGGGCTGGAGAGAGGCAGAAACTCCGCCAGTGTAGACACCAGGACACCAGTCCCCGCGGACACAGCCGCTGCCCTGGGCCACCCCAGCCCCAGCTATGCTGGTCCCGGGCACAGGGAGGGGCCTCACCCTGGGTCGCCCCATTTGGCATCCAGACCAACAGCGAAGCAATTCGAGCAAGGGCCCTGGCTACAGGATCTCTGGTCTGGGTGGACCAAGGGGAAGTCAGGACTCAAAGTGAGGGTCAAGGGCTACAAGGAGGACCAGAGTTCTGAAGGGCAGACTTGGCAGTGAACTCCCACCCCCACCTCTTCCCCAAAGCCAGGAGCACCCCAGGCCCGCGCCTGCCCATTCAGAACACCCATCATTATTATTGCACTTTTATTTACAGAAAACACACATCAAGCATTTCCAATGTTCATTTATCAAACTGACCCACTCGGTTTTTTTGTTGTTTGTTTTTTTTTCTCTCTTTTTCTTTTTGGCACAAAGAATCCACACCGATGGACCCCCAAGGTCAATGAGAAATTCAGTAAGCCTCCTCGGGTCCCGC